ACTCCTCTCTATAAACTCCTACGAAGGTGGCTATTGAGGTTGTATTTGCTTTTTTTCCTATATGAAGTTCATCCTTCCTTTCTAACCAAATTGCCCATATTGCTATCAAGAAAGTCTCAAGCTATTCTTGATTGTATTATTCTGTTAGTTTGTCAACCTATGCTGATATAGACAATGATGACATAGTTGCCTTATCCCAACTAAAGCCTAAAATATTCTATACCTCATTTGACCTGTTATTTTCCTTTATGGCATGTATAACTGATTCTTGCTATTTGCTGCACCTTGGATAGTTCCCTTTTATAATGATTTTTCCTTAAATCAGGTTTTGCTTGGTTGGTAGTATATTGTGTTTTATCCTTCAGATGAAGACCTTGATCTTATTGGGTACCTTGGCATTCCATAATTTCCTCCATAAATATTTTCCCTAGTTTTCCTTTTGCTCGACCTTTTCCTTTGTAGCTCCTTGTTTGCATAGTGCATGATATCCACTTTTAACTATATAGATTCTTTTTGTTGTGTGTTTTCATATTGTTGTATTTGGCCTTTCAATCTTACTGATAAAAGTAACATGAATGGTAGCAATTTTTTCAAGGTTAAACTATCTTTGTATCACATCTACTTTTCATTCTTTTGTCTCTTGGTATATTCAGGCACTAATATGATTATCGTCCCCCAAATCACTTCTTATTGGTATTAGTTTGCACACCCTATTGATATTAAGCCATGCATCCTTCCAAAGTTGTATTGTTTCACCATCCCCCACTTTCCACCAAAACCTATTTCTTAATACCTTCAAAACACCCCATATACTATGCCAAGTTAATGATAGGTTGTTTTTTTAGCTCTACCTCTATAACACACTCTTGCTTGAAAAAAAAAAGGGAGTTTTAAATAATCTTTACCCATGCTTACACAATAAAGCTTGGTTAAATCTTTTCATATCTCTAAAACCTAATCCACCTTCTTTTTTAGAGATGCATATCTTGCCCTAACTTAACCAATGTATTTCTAACTTGTTTTCATTGTGGCTCCACCAATATTTGCTTAGCAAACCATCTCTTTCTGTGCACAATGTCTTTGGCAACTTAAAGCAATTCATCACGTGAATGGGCATGGCTTGTAAGATAGCTTTTATGAAAATTTCTTTCCCATATAAAGATAGCATCCTTAATATTCCTCTTTGTATATTTTTCATGATTTTGTTTTTCATCTCCCTGAAAGCTTTTTTCCTCTTTTTATCTATCATAGTTGGTAAACCTAAATACTTCTTTACCCTTGATAACGTCTGAACGCCAAACACCTCCATTACCTCTTTTTTTGTCTTTTGATTTGTATTAGTACTAAAAAACATATTGGATTTTTAAAGTTATCAATTGGCCGGGTCTTTCTTGGTATCTGTGTAACATGAGCTTTGCCTTTTCGTTTTCTTTCATGTTTGCTTTTGCAAATAACATATTATCATCTGCGAAAAATAAGTGAGTGATCGTTGGTCCATAGTGGCTTGTAAACACACATGTCATCAACCTATTCCTTTGGCAATTTGTTAGTACAATCAATAAACCTTTTAAGCAAATAAGGAAAAGATAAGGCGATAATGGGTCTTTTGTTGCAATCCTCTCTCTAGATAGATTCTATCAGTGATATGACCATTAACCATAATTGAGTATGAAATAGAGGTGATGCATTTCATAAAAACATTACCTAGTTATTTTGAAACCTTAACTTAGTCATCATGGCTTTTAGGAAGTTTCACCTTACCTTATCATAAGGCCTTGCTTATATTTAGGTTTGGTGTTAACAAACTCGCTTTCCCGTTTCTCATAGATTTAAGAGTGTGAAGCAACTTATAGGCTATAAGAACATTATCAGTAATTAGTCTTTCAGGTACGAAAACACTTTGTGACTCACTAATACATAAGGGTAGGATAATCTTAAGTCTATTTGTAATGGTCTTTGCTATGATTTTGTACATAACATTACAAAGACTAATGGGTCCAAATTAGGATATTAGTGTTGGGGATTTGATTTTTGGGATCAACATTACATTTGTGCAATTGATATTATCTAAATTTTCATTGCCATTCAAAACTACCAAATAGATAAAATGTCATATGAGATGCTAGTATGTTTGGTAGAAAAAAGTAAGCACACCATTTGGTCTTAATGCTTTGGTAAGGTGCATTTGCTTTAAAGCTATTAAAATCTCTTTTGCACTAAATTCTATTGATAGTAGATTATTTATCTCATTTAGTACTTGGATTTTAATAGTTTCCAAGATATCTTCAAAGTGGTGGGTTTTTTTGTGAAGTAAAGAGTTGTTTAAATTATTTATTTTGTATCTCTCTTCTTCTTCTTCCCTTTCAATCTTATTTGAATTTATCAACCCCTTTGTATTATTTTTCCTTCTCCGTATTAAGGCTTATGCATGGAAAAATCTTATTTTTTTGTCACCATTCCTTAACTAATTAATTCTCGACCTTTGCATCTAGTATGATTTTTTCTCTTCGAGTAGCTTGTTAATCTTTTTTTTTTTGTCCTCATATCACCTTCCAATTCTTCGTTGGTTTCAACCCCATCTTGACGCGTGTCTAACTTTTTGTATAGGTTAGCTAATTCTTTTTTCCTACTTTGGAATCTTTCATTCCTCCATTCCATTAAGTCAACTCTAGCTTTTGTAATCTTATCTGTTATGTCTATGTGAAAGCAATTATACCAATCGTCCTTTATAACTCGTTCATAATCTACTTCTTTGGACCACCACACTCCAAAATATTTCTTCTTTTTGTTTCATCCAGCTTGTATACCTATGTCCTTTTGTGTCTAACAACATTGGGCAATGATTTAAGATAGATCCTGCTAAGTGCTTCACCATATATTGCAAAAACTTCATACACCACTTTTCATTTGCTAAAGCTCTATCCAACCTTGCCTTGATAAGAGTTTTTGCTTCTCTACATCTTTCCCTTGTATACCATTTATTGGTAAACCCCAGGTCCATTAAACTAAACGTATCAACTGTTTACTTAAAGATTTCCATTTGGTGTTCTAGTCTTAGTAAGTCCCTACTTTTTTCATGATCCCACATAATTTCAATGAAATCTCCTAGATATATTCATGGTCTTTTTTACTGTTGTGATAATTTTCTTATTAAATCCTATGACTCACTTCTTCAACTAGTTTGTGGAACCCTATAAAATTCAATTATTCTCCATTGATCTTCATCTCTTTCTTTTTGAACCTCTATGTCTATATGGTTTTTTAAGTAGCTTAGCAATTTAAATGATAGATCCTTCTTCCACAACATCATTAACCCTCTACTTTTTCTTTCAAGCTAACTTTGAAACATGTATCCATTCCACACTTCCTCATAATCTAATCAGTCTTATTTGTATGCAACTTTGTTTTTGAAAGAAACAGTGTATGGGGATTTTATCTTTTTATCAACTTTCGTAGAGTTTAAATTGCTCGAGGTCCTAAGCCCATGGTAATTTCACGTAATGCACCTCATTATGTCCTGTGGGACTAGGACCCTATCCACGTTTATGGTTTTACAATTTTTTCGCTTCCTTTCTTATCACCTTTTGATCTCTTACTTAGCCAATCAATTTCCTTGTCACTAATTCTACCACCTTATCTCTAGTCTTCATTTTCTATTTTGTTGACTTCTAATTCTTGCTTTAAGCCAATATTCCTTGCTTTCCTTTTCCAAGTTATCTTATAACTATTTTATTGTTAGAATTTATTTGGATTCTAAACTTCTTTTCATGCCAACACATTATCTTTATCCGTACATGCATTCTTTTCCCCATTACCTTTACTAAAATCCCTCATGATCCTCGTACGTTAACTCTCCCTTATTGTGGGGATGGTCCTCTTGTTTTCCTGCACTCACATTTAGTCCTATTGACATAGCAATTATATTAATTCCTTATTTTGCTTCCTCATTTTGGCCATTGCCCTTGTTTTTATGTTCTCCTTTAATTGACCATTTCCCATAATTAGTCTCTTATTGGTTGATTTTTTGCTACTTCTTGTCAATGTCATACTTTCTTAACCACATTGTTTCCATCATGGATCTCATTGTTTCTGATTACTTTATATGTTCTTTCCTACATGCAACCTTCATGTCATGTTTTTTTCAATTCTCCTCATTCAACCTATAATTCCAAAACCTCTTTTTCAATGATGATGTCCTTATCTAATCCCTATATTGCTTCACTCTATCTAAATCCTCCTTTTTGATTCCTCTAATTTACATTCAAATTTCTCATGCCCCAAATGTCCATAGATATAATAGAAAGTTGGTAATCTTTCATACCCTAGCCTTCTTCTTATTACATCACGTTTTTCTCCTCTCGACAATGTGACTAAATGCCTTAAGGTTTTATGGACATTCACCTCCACGTTAACCCTTGGGTACCTTGCCTAATCATTCTATTTATTATCCACATTTTTGAACACACCAATCTTACTTCTAAGTTTTTCTGCCATACTGTCGATCATCATGGCTAGGGGTAGATCGTAAATTATGTCCCAAAAAATGGTGTGATTGAAGACATATTTGTTTACTTTAAGGTTTTGTTCTAATTTTCCATAACAAGTTCGAAAGACCATGAACTGCCATCTATAACATTTTATTTGTCCTTCTTTGTTGCAAATTTGAATAAAAAAAAGTTATTTTTTAGGTGTACCACCTACATCTTTGGCTAGTCTTTATATTACTCTAAATGTCCCCACCAAAACATCTATATTGAAAGACCTTTTAAGGTCCATTTGGATAAGTAGTAAAATTAATTTCAATTAAATTAAAAATAATAATTATTATTATTATAGTTACGATTGAAAAAAAAATTACTACAACTATAATAAAAAAAAATTTCAATTAAAAATTTATATTAAATAAATTTCATTAAAATTAATATTTATATTTAATTAATGGTAGTTGAAACTTAATTGCACATCATTGAAAGTGCATATGCATCCAAATTTAGGTTTAGTCAATAGTTTGCCCACCACCTATTTCTCGTCCCCTTCTCCTTGTGATCCATTCCCTTCCTTGTAATCAACACTATCCTCTTCCTCCTCCGTGAGTTTAAGGTGTTTCCAAACACCATCTAAATCTTCAGCCATGTAACCTTACTATAAAGTATCTCCCTGGCCACTTAAGAACCCATAACCAAAACTGGCTACACCTCAGTACCATATCAATTTGATGATAAACCTAACTCGTCGACCGCCACTCATAAAGACTTCCTACTGATTGGGTCGACAGACATGGACTCCTAAAACTCCTTTTACTAAACCTAATTTTGGGGAGACTCAATAATCGAAAAAGAAATTTTTAGATTATAGACAAATAGTAACAAACATTATAAGGTTATTGAATTCAAGTATAAATATCCCATGACCCCTTCAAATATCTACCTCGCTAGTCGTTAAAAAGTGCATGCCTACACACACCTTCACCAAATATCTACCTTCAAAATACCACACTGGAACACTTACTGCCACCTATGTCCTACGCCGCTACCGCCACCACCAACGCCACCACATTTTCAACACCAACGCTAGACTCCGAGTCCCCTACCCTCCTCCAATCCATCACCTCCCATGGAGGCTATGCTTATGCCCGCATGGCCGCTTTAGCCGCTGCCGGCGATGAACGCGCTGCCGAGGCGGCGCGTGAGATGGCTTGGGAGCAACTCCACTCTGGCCCTTGGAATTCCGTACTCCCTGTATGGCGTGACGCTTACTCCATGGCGTGCCTCTGCGTGGCTAAGTTCCATTTCTCCAATGGTGAGTTCAGAGATGCTCTTAGGGCCTTGGACATGGGCATCATAATGGGCGGCCCTTTGCTTAGGAAAGATTTGGACTCGGCAATAGAAGTCGTTTCGGCCTCCAAAGCAAGACAGTACAGTAACGGAGGAGCTGATGCTGATAACGAGGGTCGCCAAAATGCAGTGTCTAGATTGTTGGTTTGTCCGGAGGAGTTTGATGAGTCCGAGGTAAGGTTCGTTTTCTACATTTTTTTTTTTTTAAATTTCTTTTGCTTGTTCTTAGTAAAGTGGAAATTGTTAAAGCCAGATGACATTTATAGAAAGAATTTTGTATTCAATTCAATATATTCTTCCTTGGAATGAAAAAGCATTTGCCAGAATAGTATATTAACTAATCATAATTACTACTTATGTTCACCCATTAGCTGAATGATTTATGTTCATGCACATGGTTGAGCATACTTATAATTTTAATTGGTTTTTTGGGTTTAGTGTAGTTTCCTTATGGTCGTTGCTTATGATATTGAAGCAAAAGAGTATCTTTGGATACATGACAGAATATTTTTGTTTCTAATAATTGAGAATAAGAATCAATCTATTGATATTTAATGATAACAAAATATAAAATTTTCCTTTACTTGATAGAATTATACTTGAATGTAGATTTGATTTTTGTGATTTATTTTCATTTTTTTAATTGAATGAGATTATGCATTTTGCTATTTGCTTTTGCTTTTCATCAACTTCATAACAAATAAAATGTCAATAGCAAAATCAGCAACCAAATAAAGCTTTAGTTTTTCTCTTTCTGTGAATTGATTATAGTGTCTGCTGTTTGATCCCCATGTGGATGTTGTATTTGTACAACAAAATTTGTTTCATTAGATTACTGGAAGAAAGAGAAAATGCTCAAATGGGGAATCCTTTTGAGCTTTACATATTTATGTGAGTTTAAATGTCCATTTGGTTGATTACATTTATAATATGTAAGAATTTGGATCTTTGTGCTTTTGAGTTTATTTTAGGTTTTATTTCTTTTTTGTTTTTCTTTTGATTTGATTTTCATGTTTGTATGTTCATTTAAGATCAGCTTGTTTGGAGAAATGTTGAAATTGGGCAACTCTTTGAGTTTTAGATCCCTCTTGTATGTTATAAATACTATTTATAACATTTTCTTGTTTTCTGAATATATTTCAATATTTTGATTCTTGCTCATTTACCCTTAGGCCTTAAATGGGCTAACAATCAGGATATTATCAATAGGAGTTTTACCTTTTTTTCTGGTGGTTAATTTGGATTCTATTATATAATGCAGTCTATTTTCTTATTTGTATTTTGTTGAGAATGATCAATACATACATACACAGGTTCACAGGGAAAAGGGGAAGGATATCTTTGTAAGACACACTCACACTTGCCAATTTCAAAACGGTATTCAACTGTTGGAAGTTGTGGTTGGGTATATTGGCAATAACTATTATTTATTTTTCAAACTGGTTACTTAAGCAAAAACTGGGTAACTCGCCCATTTATCATTTCTTTACTTCTGCACTTTATATATATTTTTGCATTTTTATTATTTTATTATGTTAATTAGCTCCTTTTTACCGTAGTTTATTGTTTATTAATTGGATGGTTGGGATGTTGCTGAGAAGAGAAACTGGAATGGTAGTATGATATTTGAATTTAATGACAGATTCTGTTTCCTTTTGATCTTGTAGGTACTACAAATTTTACCAATAAGGTCCTTGGCTTCTAAGATTGTGGGGAAGAGGTCCGCCCTATCTTTGGAGGGATTTCTACATGAATTTTTCCTTTCAGGTTCTCCAGTTATAATTACTGATTGTATGGCTCACTGGCCAGCCAGGACAAGGTGGAATGACGTGGATTACTTAAGAAGGGTTGCTGGTGATCGTACCGTTCCAGTTGAGGTGTGATTAATTTTCCTCTTATTGTTATGAAATTCAGTAGAGACCAAAGTTGCAACAAAGGCTTTTTTCTACTCTGTTTTCTTCAAACAAAATTTTATACCCAATATCCTAGCTACTTATATGTTTTTTTTTTTTTTTTTTTGTTGGAAGCAGTCTTTTGCATTTTACTTTTCAACATAGTTTGAAGTTTTAGCTTTTACTGATTTATGATGTTTGAGGGCATGATACATGTACCAGAAAATATTGGTTCGCTTAACGGGGAATTTTTACTGTTACCAATCTTAATTGGTTGCACCCAGCATTTAAGCCAAGTTGCAGTCTTATGTGGATCTTGGTAATTTAATGTGGTGGTTTGCAACTCATCTGTTGTATTCTTACATAGATCCTGATAGTTTTAGTTTGGTTCCCAAGGCAAATCCTGTATTCATATGCTCAATCAGCTATTGCTAGGTTAAAGATCCTTATTTCTTTATTTCATTGGTGGACCTTGTTATTAAATTTGCTTCATCTTTAGGAACCTGCCAAGAGTCACATACCTGGGAGTGCTTGACTGACTGTAAGGTTTTTAAATGATGGATTTTCGAGTGTATCCTAACTGAACTATTAATCCTTAGTAGATGGGGCCATTGTTGCCAACTTTGAATCCAAATATCCTTCTACACCTTGATTCTGAATTATTTTCCCCATAGCAAGAAGAGCATTCCAACTAGAGCTAGAAAGTGCTTACCTTGTCACAATCAGCCAATGTAGTGGGCACATACACCCAGTATTTGAAAATATTTAAGCTTTTTCCTAACCTAACCCTTTCACACAACTAGTATGCCTTTTCTTACTTCCTTGGTTGGGTTTGAGTGATGATTATGGTCTTAGACACTTTTGTGGGAAACTGAAATGAGAAGTGGAATCCTCTATGAGGTAATATGATTCTTAATGGTTGTAATCCATTGAACAAGAATGGATGAAAAGCTTCAGGTCTTTTCTTTGGTGGATAAATCTTTCAGCAATGGGACCATTAAAGACAGGTCTATGGTGAACCAAGCAAGTTTTTATCATTTATTCTGCAAAGACATAAGAAGTGTCAAAACAAAAAACAAGTGCAGTTTTAGAATCTCTTTTATAATATTCTTGATGTGAAAAATGATTGGTTAACTGAATAAACCTGGGGATTGGCCTCAATGGTTCATTCATCTGCTTTAGGAGGTGGACTTCCTGCAGGGCTGGGGTTCCCACTCCTGCATATTCAATGAACAAAATAATAATAATAATAATCATAATAAAAAGGTTAAGTAAAGCCTTTAAAATTGTAAAATTATTTTTATCTTTGCTACCTAGATATTGCCACAAGAGTTCTTATTAATGATAGAGGTTGTATTGTGGAAAGCTATTTAGTTCCCTTTCTTTTCATTTTATTTATTTATTTGTGGCAAGAATACTTGATACAAAGATAATTACTTCCTAAGTTTAACTGAAAGCTGGTAAAGTTTGAAATGCTTTTCAGGTTGGAAAAAACTACTTATGTTCTGAGTGGAAGCAAGAGCTTATTACATTTTCCCAGTTTCTTGAGAGGGTTCAATCTAATGGCAGTGGAAGTAAGGTCCCCACGTATCTTGCACAGCACCAATTGTTTGATCAGGTAGTGTTGTCCTCTTTCTTATATGGTATGTTTTGGAAGATTTAATTTTACTGTTGGTTACTGAAACCTTTACTTTATTGTTACTATATAATAATAATAATGGCAGATAAATGAGTTGCGGAAGGACATTTCTATTCCTGATTATTGTTATGCTGGTGGTGGGGAGCTGAGATCTCTCAATGCTTGGTTTGGTCCAGCTGGGACAGTGACACCTTTGCACCATGATCCACACCATAATATACTTGCTCAGGTATTGTGCAGTTGGATACATGCATTTATTATTCATAACAAACTGTAAAAGTTAATTGTGGTCTCATGAAACTGCTTTAATCCCTCATGAGGCTTAAGACAAATACCTTGGAAGAACTCTGAAGCTACCAATTTGAGATGATGAGTGTGTTCTCTATGTTGGAGCTTAGATCATCTTAGAAGTAATAGCTTGTCTCGTCTTACCTGTGCTGCAACACATTTTAATGGCTCTGACTTCTTAATGAGTTAAACTATCATTGACATGCTATCTTGTGCTATTATTTTACATATTATGTACTCATATGTATATAGGCATCAAATTGGTAAACCTCTAAGTGGTTTAGATTGAAAATGAGTAAACTACTTACCATTCTACTGGATCAATCACAAAGAGAATTTCCAGATTTTATTAAGTAAATAATGAATATCAGTCATGGCTCCTTAAAATGAATTGTATTACGGGGATGTTTTCTTCCATAATCAGGGAAATCATCTTAACCAACATTGTTGTATATTTCCATTATTGCTTTTTGATGTATATAGGTCATCATGCATTTCATTTCTGTTTCAGTTTTTGGGTCTGTTGGAGTATTTGTGCTCAAAATTGGATGTCCAGATTGCTAAATTTAAAAGATAGTGCCGTTTAATTTGGGTCCTTAATGGAAACAAGTTGCATTGAATTGGAATTAGAAATGTTTTAATCTGTTTCCTTTTCCACTTTTCTTTTGAATAAATATAAACAATTAGGTTTCAAGTTTAACATGCTTTCCAGTAAGCACCAAATCATATGTAGGGTCACATGTCTTAGTGTGCATATAATACACAAGAGGCCTTCAGTCAATTATCTTCTTAGCATGTAGCACTTTTTGAGATGTGTTATTCAAGAGCACCAATGATTCATTGGTATGGTTGACTTATGCTTCTCTTGAGGATTGTTGCTTCAAATAGCTATTCTAGCTCTTCACTGTTTAACATGCTTGATTACAATGACTCTGGCATGAACATTTTTTAATATAGTTTTCTGGCAATTTTCATTTCCCTTATGCTGTATGTTCTACTTTAAACCTATCTCTCTGTGGATTTAATTTTTCCTCAATCATTATTCTGCTCCCAATTTTCAGGTCGTTGGGAAAAAGTATGTGAGACTCTACTCTGCTTCATATTGTGAGGAGCTTTACCCATACAGTGAAATCATGCTCAACAATTCCAGCCAGGTAGCTGCTTACTTCGTCCTCTCTTTTGGATTAATGAACTTTATTGCAAGAGTTAACTTGATAATTTTCATGATAAATCCCATATCCCAGTGATTCATTCATGTAGTCTCTCAAGACGTGCACAATCACAGTCTCTCTTACTCAGACATGGAAACACCTTCCCTGCCTGCTGGATTATCTAATATTCTGTTGCTTAATCACCTATTTTTTCTATTATCTTGGCGAGACCAATGTGCATATCTAGTATCAGATTAACCACCTTTTCTGGTTAAGGATTGGCCATATTTTTTAGTTTAACTTACATCTGTTATTTTTCGACTAGGTCATACAGTGTTTGATTTTTTCCTGCTATTTGTGGGATAAGTGTTTTGCTCTATTAGCTACAGCCATAGATCTCCTCCAACATTATATTAGGCATTTGTTTTGCTTCTCTCTCTTTCTTCTTTTTATCCCTAAATATATATATATATATATATATATATTTATATGCATATAAAAGCTTTTGTGCTGAATACTGACCAAAGATGTTTTGTTTGAAGGTTGATCTGGACAACATAGATGACGAAGAGTTTCCAAAAGTGCGTGAGTTAGAATTTGTAGACTGCATTTTAGAGGAAGGTGAAATGCTTTATATCCCACCGAAATGGTGGCATTATGTGCGATCTTTAACAAAAAGCTTTTCAGTGAGCTTTTGGTGGAGTGATTCTGGAAGTTCAACGGTGCCTTAATATTGTATTCTTTCCATGTTCTAATTCCTTATATATATATATATATATATATATATATTTGGAATAGAACTGGACCTCATATCAAAGCCTTAGCAGGTAAATTCATAGTATTCTTATATGTATAGAGAGTGTGTCTACTCTACTCAAAGGAAGTTGGTAGAATGTAATCCTTTACAATTTTGAGTGTCTTTTTTACTTATCTGAACTTGACACAGTCCAGTTAGCTGAAACACATGATACTGAATATCTTTCTCTCTCTCTCTCTCTCTCGCTCTCTGCGCTTGCTTTCTCCTTGATATTTAGGTTTTGTAGAATGATGAGTTAGACATCCAATTACTGATTGAATTATTGGGTTTAAAGAATATTTTAGTTAAACAATAAGTTGGTTTAGCTCAGTGCATTTTTTAAAGGTTGATTCAAGTAGAGTTATCTATGTCGAATTTAATAATTTATAAAAAATTATTTTCTTAATCTTCAAGTAAATTTGAACTCAAACAATAAAAAAATAGCATATATATATTTATATATTTGCCATTAGGTGGGTTGGAGCTGCACCCAACACCATCTTATTTATGTCAAGAGTAAAGACCAAGGTTCGTTTGGTAGAAGAAGAACAAAGCGGATGGTTAGAAAAGACTGATGGTAAAAGATGGGAAGAAAAAAAAATTACTTGTGTTTTCTAGACTCTAATAGAAGTAAAATGAGAGAGAAGAAAATAAATATTATTGTTATCATAGAACTAAGGTTGTGTTTGATAAATTATTAAAAATAAAAAATTTTAATGATTTAATTTTTTTAATATGTTTGGTAATTTATTTTAAAAACATCTTAAATTGAATTTTTCTAATGAAAAGAATTGAAAATTTTAAGTAATTAAAAGTTAATAAATGAATTGAATCATTTTTATTTAAAGAAAAATTTATCATTTAATTACATTAACTTTACATTATTTTCTTTCCAAGTATTTCTTTAACTTTTCACTAATGTAAAATAATTTTAAAATATCAACAAAGTTCTCCGTTTAGCATGAAATATTTCAATGCAATATCAAACAGTTTTTATGATTGTAAAATTCAGTACTTAATTTTTTAGCATTAAATTTTTTTTAATTTATGAAACATTACTTAAGAAATTTACTTTAAAAATTAGGGCAGAAGGTGAGATACTGGTTAGTATGGGAATTTAAAATGTTCTTTAAAAAAAAAAAAAATTAACCTTTAAGAAAGAAGCTGGAGCTGGAGGTCTCTGCTGGGTAACATTGGTCCCGTCCCTTCTTCCCCGACTTGACCCAGAGTTATGAATTATAAGAACTCCTGAAAAATTCTTCAAACTCCTTTGAACTTATATCTGTAAACAAGAAATGCCTGGAGGCCAAGCCATTTATTAACATCTGTTTGCTAGTTACAAACTTTTCTACTTGAACTTGCCCTTGAAAATTCACTTGAGAAAAAAATTTTAAGCCAATTATACTCAGGCTACAATTTTATATCTGCAGATCACCTTACACCTTAAAACCCTTCCCTGAACATAAAATCCTGGCATCACCATGATCTTTACTCTGCTCGGTCCATGTGACCTTTGCCTTTCCATGAACATATCTTCCATGTAATGTGGATCGAAGGTTCTGTTTTCTTCAACCCTTAAAATTCCCAATGAGGGATTGAATGAGAAAGCAAGCAAATGAAGCAACCATATACATTTAGCAGCAACAAAGAAAGCTTGAAGCAGCTGTTCCGGCCATGGTCTAGTCCAATTCAGTGTTGAAATGATTAAACTCATCTTCTGATCACAGAAGTTACTGAATTCTTCACTATAATATTTAGTCCCCTTCCCCAGCACTTCATTCCAGCTTAGATTTCTAAGTGCAACAAATGATGAAAACTGAGCTTGGCGATCTTGTTGTGGGTCCAAGAGCTTTGGTGACCCATTCTTCTGAAACACACAATTCTCAAAATCTTGGTAGAGTGATTGGTTTATAATTGCTTCCAAATGGTATAATACCGCCTTAGAGTACTTTGAATTCAATGAAAGTTTAAATGGTTGAAGAAGCAAATTCAAATTATCCATTAAATTATTGTCGGTCTCCTCAATCTGTCCAATAAGTGTCTTGCAGAATTGTTTCACTGACAATCTTGCTTCTGATACTATCTGCAAAAAACCCTCTACCATTACATCCTCACTGACAGGCATCAGTTTTTCTCCATTCTCATCAATGGATTTTCTTCTCCTAGGAAAATTTCCAAGCTTTTCATTGATTTGAGAATCCTTTGTTTGTGTTGCTTGCCTTAAGGCTTTCTTGAGCTCTTCACAGTAGGTTTCTAAATACTCGAGCTTCTGCTTGAGCTCTCCTAATGAAGATCTCATCTCAGCAACTTCCGTCAAGGCTGCGTCTCTATTCTCATTTGCCTCTATCAGCTCTCTCTTCAATGTTTCAATTGACAACATGCCAAAGTCCTTGATTATTTGTGAAACTTCCTCGGATTCTGTTCGGTTAGGCGAATTCTCATTCTTTTGTTTCTTCTTTAACCGAGGGAATAACCATGAAATCACCCCTCGATTCTTGGGTTGTGATTGAACAGATGAGTGAGAATTTGTTAGTGGCGCCACGGTATTAGAATTCTTGATGTTCCTAATGACATTGTCAGATTCAGTTGTTATAACAGCGGGCTTGTATCTATTGCAAGATGACACTGATTTGAAGTCGCCCAAACTGTTTCTCCTACTTCTACTGGACTTGTAAAATTCTGTTCCCGGTGAGGTTTGTAAGACAGTGATGTGGTTTGCACAAGAACCAGAAACAGATTTTTGGTCTTCAGCAGGACAAACATGGGATTCTAAGGCTGCCAAAGCCGAGGAGAACCCTTTCCTCGAAGCTGAAATCTCCTTCTTATAATCTGATATAACAGTTTCAATGCCATTTCTTGCTTCCAGGTCATATTCATCCCAACTTTCAGGTACAGCTTGGTTATTTGTTTGGTCTCCAGATAATGCTTCATCTTCATAAGTCTGCCAAATATTCCCAAAGGGTTAGTGCGGATAGCCATTGACAGTGCATTGGAACTTAAAGGGATTAAAGCATTCTAAAATAAAAGAGCAGAAGCAAATATTTTATATAATAATAATAAGAAGAAGAATGTCAAACTATAAAATTTCTGCTTATTCTTTCATAAATTCTGTAGGTACTAAAAATTTGAACTCTAGGAAAATCAACTTAAAGAATTTGCGTTTGGTAATCTGGGATTAGAAATATAGCAAGGAATTTATAGGAGATAAAATTTGAAATAGGTACAAGCATTTGAAGAAGAATATTAAGACTAAAATCCACGTGAAAAGGATACCTCTAGTTACTAAGTTAACAACGATTCTTGGACCTATTGTTTCATTGCTGTGGAGACTCAAGACCAGCAATTGGGCAAAGCTTATCAAGAAGTTCAACAGGGCTAAAAAAAAGGTTAACATAGGTTATCATATAATCATCATGATGAAGTTAATTAAATTAATTGTGAAATAAATCTCACTGATTCTTTTTCACATAGAATTCAACAAACAACGCAGGCAACAATGAGATAGCAACAGAATTTGAACCTCATTAACAAGAAACAGATACATAACTCAAACTACTTATTAAAATTGATAAACAGAGAAGGGAGAAGGAAAAAAGAACATGAAAGTACCAAGAGAAATGTTAACTCACCGGAGTGAAAACAGGGTAATCTTGAGCAGAGAACTGAGAAACAGGGCGTGAAGCAGGGGAAGCAGAAGATGGGTATCTGGGATTTGCAGGGCTGCTTCCTATCATCAAAGCTGCATGTAAAGCTCTAAGCTCCACAGCCTTGGCAATGGCAGCCTGTATCTCCTCCCTGCTAACTTCATTGTTACTCTTACTGTTATTATCACTGTGATGGTTTTGAAAGATTTGTGAAGCAGTAGCAGTAGCAGCCATGAACAGAGGTTGAAACAGTACATATACACCCAAAGAATATGATGAATATTTTTCTTTCTATTTTTTTTTTTTAAATGAGAGAAAACAACAACAACTAAGACGATTAGAAGGTGGGTATTTAACGGCTGGATTTGATTTGCAGAGTGGAAGATGATATCTAGCTTAGAATCTTTGAGAACCAGAAACTAGAAAGAGAGGGAGATGAATGTAGGGCATCTCAAATCCAATGTGTTTTTGTCTTTGTTCTCAATGAATAAATAGAATGACAGCATGTGAAGCAAAGAAAGAGACGGTGGAGGGGTTAGTAGTTATTACTCAATGTAGCAGCAATGGATGAGATTTGCAGTTTACAAAAATACCCATCATTATATCAGAATAACCATGATAGAAAATAGAAAATGATGGCACCACATTTTCTGAACATGATTACTGTACCACTACTTCAACAAATACTTTTCATGTTGTAGCTTTGTCACAATACTACCTTTTCTTTTTGTAGTTGTTATTACTTTCTTTGCATAATCATACCAACTGAATTAATCAAATTGGTGAGTTGCTTGCTAGGATGTATTTAGACCCACAATGGTTGATGATTAAACATGTGTTATTTAAAGACTACCAACTTTTTTGTTAGTAATTTTTTTTTCTTGAATAATATAGTTCAAGAATGTCATAATTAATTATGTATTGTGTAATCTTTTTAATGTTATTATTAGTTTGTTTTTGTCAAAATTATAGATATGATAATTGACCGAGTAAGATTAGATTTTGATGGTTCATTTAGCATAAAAATTTTAAATTATTTTAAATTTGAATTTTTGAGTTTCATATTAGGTTATTTATATTTGTATTCCTGAATTCAATTTTAAATTGTTTAAGTCTTAAAATCAAATCAATTTAATTTTAAATCAAATTAATCTTTTGAATTATTTGAATCTTGATTATTTTAAATTTACATCATTTTAAGTTCAAGTTGTTAATTTTTTTTATTCAATTGAGTTGGTTTAGATTCGAGTGAGTTAAGAGAATTTTTTTTATCCGGATTATGTTTTCTTGTTTTGGTTAAAATGCAT